TATCCCTAATCACCTCGATGATAGCCAATTTTGGAAGGGACATCCTTCCCGTAAACATTCCTATATTTTTTTCACAAGAAAAACTTTTCATTAATATATGAAAATTATAAAAGTTCAATGATACACACTCCTAAAGGAACTAAGAAAAAGAGGAGAAAATAAAAGCACAACAAGGAGCGTTACAACCATAGATAAGAACGATACAAGTGCCTCAGCCTTTTGGAGGCACATGGTGGAGAAATTTAAACAAAAGCTAGAGAAGTGGCAGAAGCTCCAACTTTCAAATGGAGGAAGATTGACTTTGACCCAATTAGTGCTTAATAGCCTCCCTAATTACTACCTTTCTCCTCTCAAAGCCCCGGCTGGTGTCACTAAAGATATGGATAAGATAGTGAGGGATTTTTTCTGGAAGGGAGACTCTTCTTCCAAGTGCAAGACTCTAGTCAACTGGGGTGAAACCTACCTCTCTTTGAAAATGGGAAGGGTTGGGCATTGGTGGCTTTATCAGAGAAATAATGCATGCTTCTCAAAGGGCTATGGAGGTTTACCTAAGAGGAAAATGCCTGAAAGGTTATTTTGAGCATCTACGATCTGGATCTGGAACCTCATGGTTGGATGACAATAAAATCGAAAGGGAGAGCTAAAGGAGGCCCTGGTTCGGTATTGCAAGGAATACTGCTTTCTTCCTAAAATTCTTATCTTTCAAAATGAATCATGGTGATTGAATTTGTTTTTCGTATTACAAGTGGGCAAGCTCAAACTCGTAGACAGTGGACTTCCCCGACATTTTTGTTCTTTCTCTAAAGAAAGAGGCTACGATTGCAGAATATTGGAACGAAGCTCAAAGGGATTGGAACTTGGGTTTAAGAAGAGGACGGTTTGATAGAGAGCTGGACTGGACAGCTGGGCCGGCTTCGGAAGCAAATTGGATACTGTTTGGTTTGGTGAAGAATCGAACAAAGTGGTTTGGTCCCTTGAACCCACAGGGTAGTTTTACTACAAAATTAGCTGTGAAGAACTTCTTTGCTGCTTCGACCAAGCTGAATTCGCCTCAGAATTCCCTTATATGGAAGTATGAGATCCCAAAGAAGGTCAAAGTTTTCCTCTGGTCCTTAGCCATAGAGCCTTTAATACTCATGATAGACTTTAGTTGAAATACCACAGTTGGGCCTTGTCTCCCTCAGACTGCTTGTTGTGCAAAGGAATGAGGACGATGTAGACCACATATTTATTCAGTGTCAGTTTGCTACCAAGGGCTGGCTTTTTCTTCTGCAGTTTTTTTATCCGTCTATTTCCCTCCCTAGCCGAATAGAATATTGGTAGGTTGAGATTTTGCTGGGGTGGTCTTTTAAAAGAAAAGACCCGAGGTCATTTGGAATTGTTTGACAAGAACCCTTCTTTGGAACATTTGGAACGAAAGAAACTTTAGAGTTTTTTTAGGATAGATCTTCTTCTTTTGACAATTTTTGTAATGGTGTACAGCTCTCATCTTCTTGGCGGAATCACAAGTAATTCTTTTGTAATTATAAATAGCCACTCCTTGATTATTCAAGATTGGAGAGTTAGCTTTTTGTTTGAGAGGGGGTCCTCTCAGCCCCTGCTCTAGGCTGTTTTCTTTCTCTTTTTTGTCTATAAAAGGTTTCTAATCTAAAAATAAAAAAAAAAGCCAAGGACTGCAACACGAGAAACCACAAAACTTCATAAATGAATCTTGGAACACCATAAGACTTCAAGACCTATTTCGGCAAAAAAGAATTGAAGGGGAATCCTCAATAGCATCCTTTATTCTTTAAGTAGTCTTTAAGTAACCAAATCCACTTCTTGATATGAGAGAGATATAGTTGTGATGCAAATCCAACCACGGATCCATTGAATGTACCCGAGGGACCAATTACAAGAAGCAAAGCAAAGAAGATTCAAGAGGCTTTCATATTACATCTTCAAAGGCTAGCTAATGCACACGAGGAGACAAAGATTTCTTAGGCCAAAATTCTTTACAATGTTACTTTAATGAGTCAAGAAGAGAATGGAGCAAAGATGGCACGGGAAAAGTTGTCTATTTTGAGAGATGGCACGAAGGACAAAAAAAGTGTGCAGATCTGTGAACAGGTGCCTTTGCAGATTGCACCTCTTGGGAGTTTGTGATGTCAAAGCTTATCAAATCTCATCTAAACGTAAAGCGCCTCCTACATGTGATTTCCAAGACAATTTAAAGCAATTCTACGTTTTTTGATTCACATTTAGTTGTCTAGTTTGATGTGCAATCAAGTTTTAATTTGCATGTCTTATTTTCTACAATTTGCATTAAATAGGATTTGATGGACTTTTGGTATTCCTTCGCTGAACAACCCTTTGGCCTATTTAAAGGCTTGTAATCACCTTGTTTTGAGAGATTTAAACATATTGAAATTCAAGAACTTTTGTTCCTTAACACTTTTGGTGTTGCTTCTTTCAAATCTTGCTTTAGGTTTGATGTTTAAACCGATTCATTGGATTAGTCTCGATCAAGCTAATTCTGGAGTGAGTCGTCTTAGGATCTAGGAGTGACCATCGTAGATTCTAAGTCCGATCTAAGAGTGATTCATCTTCTAACCTTACTCTTGGTTGGAATCATTCGGTAAGTTAGTCGTCTTTGTGAATGTTTGCAAGGATCCTAGAAGGACCTCTAGCTTTGTAAACCCGAGCAACCTTGGCGCTTATCAAGTTGGATCTTTTCTTCTCGAATGTTGGCTAATTCTTCATTCAGAGAGGTGATATGGTCATCCAAACTCTTCATTTAGAGAGGTAAAATGGTCATCCAAACGGGATAGTGACGTACTAGAAACAAAATCATCTTAAGAGATGTAACAATGTCATCCTTCGAGTTCGAGCAATCCAGAAGAGTAGGCTAGTAGCCATAAACCAAGTAAAAATGGAGATTACGACAATTTGAGAAGTTCTTAATTTCCTATATATCAGTTAGAGTATTGCTGTCAAAGAATAGTGGCATGCTCAAAACAGACCGAAAGGGGATTCAAAGTGCCCGAAAGGGGTAAGTTCTTCTTATGGTCCCTTGCCCGCAAAAGTATAAACACTCACAACAAGGTCCAATTCCAAAGAAAGAACACTCATGTCTACCTCCTTCCACAAGTGTGCATCAAATGCTTCATGAACCAGATATACTCACGAGTCACAACAAGGTCCAACTCTCTGGCCATGGGCTGCTAGTATAGATTGTTCAACTTTTTTAATTGGAATGGTTGTTTACATGAAGAGGTTAAGGGGATGGTGGCTGCAAGGAAAAGCAAGGATTATTTAGGAAGAATCTGACTAAATCCATCCTTCAAAATAAATGGATAGAAAGAAATAAAGCTTTCAAAGAGACTAGCAAAGATTTTTAGACTTTGGGAGCTTGTACAGTACATGATCTTCTCCTTCGACTAAACTTTACAATAATTTACTTTGTTTCCCATAAGTGTCATTAAAATATGGAATGGAGTTCTTTCATATATTCCCCTTTTTTATTCCCAGGGAAGAGATGCCTGATCTCCTTGCTGCTTTTGCTTATCAGGATATGAAATTCCAAGTCTCTTACAAAAATCATTGCCCACAACGGCACAACCAATAGTTTATTTCTGCAGGGAAATTTTGATCATAAAAGGATTTAATTCTAAGGAAAAAAAATAGAAAGTTGGTCATAAATTTTCACCCAGGAAGAAGATTGTCTGTTGAAGCCTGAAGGTCAGCCTGAAGTTGATAGGTGCTGGAAGATTGAAGCAGCTGACAAGTTCTAATTTTTTCTACCATGCAAGGATGATGCACTGGCACCATCTGAATTAAAACTATTCTTTTCTCTCTTTTGAGAGTGAAGGGTGGTGGCTGAGGAGAAGAGCCCGACCTTTGATGAGGTCACTTCCAATACATGAAAATAGTCAAATACCTTGCAATCGTTTGGGAGATACTGATAGGAACTTTATTTATTAAAGAAACCTTATTTGTTAAGCACTCTTCAGATGGAACATTTACACTCCTACTTGCTAGCCAATTCGACAGGGATAAAGTCTCTCTTTACAACATCAAAACACTCTAGACAGATTAATCACACCTGTAAAATACTCATGTCCTTCATATTCTTCCCATAACCACAAATAACTTCCAGTGGGTATCACAAAACTACCCTTTCTCATAACTACAAATAACTTCCATAGGAAGTAAAATTCCCATAGCTATCCATAAGACCATAACTAGAAACAATTTCTGGTATGAGTTTGTTGGGAATATTAGTACAAAAATTTTAGGATATTAAAAAGGGCATATTTGTTATTAGCAGGGGCAGGATATAGGAACCAAATTTTGAGATTAAAGTAACACTGAAATTGTAAAATGATATAAAAGAAAATACAATATCCAAACACTTCGAAGGGCCTAAAGTAACTCTCCCAAAATAACTTCTCCAAATTCTGCCTATCCCCAAACCCTCTAACTCACCCTATTCATAACCTCCTAACACTAACAAGCTCTTACTAATGACAAATATGCCCATATCCTAGTAATATCCAAACCAAGCTTTCATTGAGCAAAATGAAAGAAAAGAGAAAAAGGGCCAACAAATAACATCCATAATACTTCCCAACCCAACTAATATTCCTAACAGGGTTAATATCCCCATAACTACAAATAACTTCCTTTAGGAATTTGAGGAGGGATTAGCCTAATTACTAGTAGAAGTGACTTTCCCTTTTCTACCCTTCCCGTCCTTACATAAATTTTTACAATCGGTGGCCCAACAGATACATGGTAAACCAATAGATTTGGAAGGAAAAGCTCGACAAGTAAGAACCAATTCTACTAGAGAACCCCTCCAGAAAAGAAATTGGAACTATACTCTTCTGAAAAGAGCAATTGGAACTCCATGCGGGCAAACCCAAAATCTCAAGTAGACAACTCCAAAAATAAAGCCAAACTAAATAGAAAAATAAAACCTCATCTAATAGTAAATAAGGATTAGAGATCTCACATACCTAGTCGGAAGAAATAAGATAGCAGTGCGTTCTTGAAGCAGATATCCTCCGCAGCTAGCACCCACCTACCCAATGTCGCGTCTGAGGTTGGAAAACCTTTAAATCCCCACATGACTGGATCGTCTAACCTGTTAATTCCACAGAGATTGAAACTCAACAAATTAGGGCATACAGAAACAATAGTTTAGTGCAGGAGGGGAAGTGAAAAGGGAGAAAGATTCGGACGTGGACATGTGATTGCTAACAGTGACAAGGGGCACTCCGGGAGGTCGGCGTCGAACAAGGCAAATGAGAGTATTGGCGTTGTGGACGGTGGTGGTGTTCAGAAGATTTGCGACAGTCTTGGCGAAGGCCCCCGCCGCCATGAACATCATTTTCCTCGGAATTCCCCACATGTGGCCCATTCGGCCTGCGCACTCCATATGACGTCCTCCCATGGCCACACTCATGCCTCCTCTCCTCGAGCCCCTGTGTTCGACAAGAGGTAGAGGATGATGATGTACAGATCAACAGAATGGTAATGGCCGGTCGAATCAAGAATCCTACCCAAGTTTGAACAAGAATCATACCTACAGAATTGAGTGAAGCAAGAAGTATATGCTTTCTAAGTTACATTGTCAAATTCAACTGGGAACAATCATGAAGAAGAGGTAGCTTGGGAGGGGGAAGTGACGGTTAGGGCTTGGAGGGGAACTTCATTTTGAAATTCTATCATCCCTTGTTTTTTACATTCATCTCCTTCTTGTCAACTTTTTTTAGCCATGCTAGGGTGGAGATATTTTTTTTCACTACAAATGGAAATTCAAATTCATAACCTTTTTAGTCCAAGACATATGTTAGTTGGCATGGGGCTGACATGAGCCTAGCTCAACGATAATTGGCACTTATTTCTGACCACGAGATCGTGAGTTCGAATCTCTCACTCCTTATTGTACTAAAATAAAAAAAAAGCTGGCATAGGTAGGACCTACGCACGACTAAGCAGCTAATTTTTTTCTTAAGAGAGATAGTAAAATGAAGGGAAAAAAATATACTTTTTGTCCCTCGGGTTTGAGATAAGTGTCTAAAAATAGCTCTAAATGGTCCTTAACATCATTTGACCGTTAATTGACCTAACAGAATGCTTATGTAACAATTAAACTATGATTATGTGGATATTTTCAGGACCGACCTAAATATAACGGTTTTTAGACGAGAAACTCGAATTTATGAACTTGTACTTGTATTTAAGAGAAAAGCAACTAACTTGTTAGGAATGTTCTTTATCATAAGGGTAGTACGATTGTCTTCAATCCCCATTATGCGATCAATATCAAGTTCGTACTAAAAACTAAGGCAAAAAACGTCCTCCCCATATCCCTTCATTCTCAACCAAACTAGATCACAAAATAACCCTAAACCCCCTGGCCGCTCTCTCTTCTTCCATTTCTTCCCCTTTTAAAGTCACAAGACCCCCCTCTTGTCTCTCTGTTGTTGCCTTCAATTTTTCCTATACACACACAGATAGTGGCAAATGCACTGATAAAGAACTTTCAAAGCTCTTTTTCTTCAACACCCCATTACCCAACTACCATCTCTCTCAAACTGCAAGTCTTATAATTTTCCTAAAACCCCCTTCAATTTATGTTATCTATCTCTTTCTCTCCATATTTCTATCCCTCTCTGTCTCTTTTATCATGTAGGTCTTCTCCACAAGCTTAATTTTTGTGTTTCGAAGCCCTTCTTTTTTTTAACTCACTTTTTTGGGTCTCTTTTTTTCTTCCTCTTTTTGTATGAATGCAGATTTTGTTCCCTCAAGTTCTGCAATACTTCATATTTTTTAAGCCTCTGGCTCTACTTCCTCCAGAAAACTACAAAAATGGAAGCGAATGGCTTTATTTGACATATCTCATGCACCATAGCAGTTCTACTTCTAGTAGTGTACTGAGACAAAAACATCGTATCAGAGAACTACCAAAACTCCAAAAGTCCTAGCTAAAGCGCATATCAGCCCAGAATTGACTTTGGAGGCGGGAAAAAAAACATTTCAGTAACATGTCAAGAATTTTGTAACTATTGTCCTTCGATTCTCACCAATTGAGCTGCATTGTTGTAAGATGCACAGTGAAATAATTCAAAATTCTAACAGTCAAATGTTATGAGATTTCGGGAAGAAGTAAAAATAAACTAACATATATCAAATTCTTCAAATAGAAGTCACAAAATCTATGTTTAAAATCAAAATAAAACTACCTTAAGCAAGAGGAGTGGAGGTGGCGGACCGATGGCGAGCAACTCACGGCAGCGGCGTTGGGCGACGGAATGAGAGGAAATTGCGAAATGGAAGGGGAGGGGGGTTTCGGCGGCGACAAGGGGTGATGGGACGAACAGCGGCGAGTGGCGGCTACGGGTGGCAATGATGGTCGCCGCAAAGAGATGAGATGAAGAAGAAGAAGAGAATCGGGGGGGAGGGGGATATCGCGGCGCACAATTAGAAAACAAAGGGCATTTCAAATTTAATTTAAGTGAATAATTATTAAGAAAGTATCCGTATTTTTTTTTTTTAAGTTTGAAGTTATTTGGTCTTCAAAAAGCTACCTTCTCAGACTTTGGAAAAATAGTTCTAAAAGGTTCTTACGGTGGGATATAAAAGCTCAAGGAGAAACTTGTCTAAAATATACATGAATGTCCTCTCGAGCAAAATATACATTTATCGATGTAGTGGATTGGAGACAGCCATATATCGAGTATCTAACAAAATGAACTTTAGCGGATGATAGATACGAAACGAATAAACTAAAGAAGATAGCCAACCGACGAACTACGTGGGAAAATAGACCTTCCTTCTTTTGTTTATTTTCAACAAGCATTTTTGTAAAGTGACAATTCTCTTCAGTTTGGTTTCGGAAAACTTGTTGGTCGCGGATTAGTGCGTTCTACACCGCCGACGACCTAAAATGAAAGGGCACAGGTTGATTTCTCTGGTTGAGACTACATTCCGCTTCTTGCTCGAAAAATGAAGAAAGACTTGTCGGAAATCGCCGGTTGGGTTGGTCCAACCAAGAAAGGCATGGGAGTCCTTGGGCGTTGCTGATGATAAAAGAAGATTGAAATGGCTTATTGATTGAAGCGGCATCGATGAGCTCTACATTTATTATTTTTAAATTATATGATTTTTTTTATTGTTATCTCTTTCTCTCTCTTCCCTCCCCTCTTTCTTCGAATCTTGATCCCAAGATGGGAGAGCCTGAAACAATTTCAGCTCATCAATCTCTTCCCTCCCCTTCAATTTTTCAAATTTTTTTCTCTTAATTTTTCTATATATTTCATATCTAGTTTAAATAGTTTTAAAATGCTACCTGAACAAGTATTAGAGTCTTTATTTTGAGTGGTGTAAAATTTAGGTGAAGAAATACATTCTATATACTGCAGTTTTGTTTTTTTGGAGTCCATATTATCATAGAAGAATTTAGGAAGGTTGAGAAATGATTTGTAATTGCTCAATCAAAGTTAATTTGAGCATGATGCTATGTAATGACTTATATAGAAAATGTTTACATGAATGAAAGGAAAGTAATTACATAAGGATACGTGTGAATAAAAGGAAATAACTAATAAATGCTGATTGATACACAATTGGAAAATATCATCACAGCAGCCAAAAATACAGCAGTAAATATTCCTCCATAATTAACAACAACTACGTGGTGGTTGTGAGCTGTAGATCAGAAACTTGTGATTGATAGCAATGGAGTTATTTGGATTCCTTAACATCCCCCCTCAAACGAGAGGGTGAGTTGACTACATCGAGTTTGGCTCGAAGATTTGAGAACTTAGTTTTAGATAGTGCTTTAGTGAGGCAGTCGGCTATTTGATCGACATAAGGTACATAACGAACGTCAAGCTTTTTGGCTAGAACCTTATGACGAACAAAGTGAACATCCAATTCGATGTGCTTGCTTCGTTAATGGAAGACTGGATTTGCTGCTAATGATAATGCACTAATGTTGTCACACCATACAATAGATGTACTGACTGTACGGACATGTAATTCATGTAAGAGGGACTCAATCCATGATATTTCAGTTGCTACAAGAGCTAATGATCGATATTCGACTTATGTGCTAGACCTGGCAACAACATGTTGTTTTCTAGACGTCCAAGAGACAAGAAACCCTCCAAGAAATACACAATAGGCGGCTATGGACTTTCAATCATCAAGACAACATGCGCAATCTGCATCATAGTATGCCACTAAATTAATTTTTGATGATGGTGCAATATGCAAAGCATGAAACATAGTACCTTTTAAGTATCTAAGAGCTCATTTTGTCGCTTGCCAACGAACCGTGGTTGGCGGCTGTAAGAACTGACTCAATTTATTGATGATAAAAGATATCTCTTGTCTGGTGTTTGTGAGATATTGGAGTGCACCAATTAAACTCCTATATTCTGTGGGATTGTCCATAGGAACACCATCTACTTTGGAGAGAATTTTGCCAACGGCAGCAGGGGTGGGGCATGGCTTGAGGTGCTGGAAATTCATTATGTGAGGGAGATTAGAGATGTACTTGGTTTGACTCGAGTAAAGTCCATAGCTATCCCTGTAAACTTCAATTCCAAGGAAATAAGACAAATTTCCAATATCTTTCAAAGCAAATTGATGATTTAGTTCACATATAAACTTTTGAATAATGTTAACATTGTTTCCGGTGACAACAATGTCATCAACATATATTAAGAGAAATAGTGAAGTACCACCGGATTTGAAAAAGAATAGGGATGAATCTGCCTTAGAATTTTGAAAGCCCCATCCATTTAAGACCCCCTTAGCTTATCAAACCAAGCCCGAGGAGCTTGCTTCAATCTATACAAGGCTTTGTTTAATTTGCAAACATATTGGGGACAAGTCGAGTCAATAAAGCCATCGAGTTGAGCCATGTAGACTAATTCTTCCAGGTTAAGGCATTGTTGATGTCAAGTTGCCTGATACACCAATTTAATGAAATAGCAATACTTAGAATAATTCAAATAGTAGAGGACTTTACCACTGGACTAAACGTTTCTTGAAAGTCAATTCCAGGAGTTTGGTGAAAGCCTTTGACAACTGATCTTGCCTTGTGACGGGATGCTCCCATCAGAATTGTATTTTAACTGAAAAAACTCACTTGCATCCGACCAAGTTGCGAGATTTGTTAGGAGGAACAAGATTCCATGTCGAATTGCGGTGCAATGCTTGTATTTCATCAAGCATAGCTTGTTTCCATTCTTTGACTGTCAATGCATCTTTAACCGATAAAGGTTCGGTAAATGCGGAGCACGTAGTGACATTAGAGGAGGAAGCCAAATAATTTTTTATTTTTGGTTTAAAAATTCCACTTTTAGACCTTGTTTGCATTGGGTGGGAGGGAGGTTTAATGATAGATTCATGTTGGCTAATAGGTTTTGATGGAGAATTTTGAACTTGATCATCAATGGGGTTGTCATTTGATAGTCCAATGGCTTCAACATCAATGCAAACTATACCATTTCCACAACTTGATAGTCTAAGATCTTCAACATTAGTGCAAGTTATACCATTTCCACAATCATTAGTAGCGGCAGTAGAATTAACAACCAAATTTTCTTGTTGACTTACAGACTTTGAGGGAGAACTTTGTTCTGCAGGAGTTGCTAAGTTTGTGACTGTACCAACTGGATTGGGGTGACTTGTTTGACTCATTTGTGGGAGTAAAGTATGATTTGTGGATGATAGATTTTTAGGACTGACTAAATGACTTGGGGAATTCATCCAAGTGATAATTGTTTCACAAGGGTTCTCATTTGGAGAGATTGTTTTGAAGAAGCCAGTTTGAAAGGGAAAATCGGACTCATTGAAGATAGCACTCCTAGAAATATACAATCTTCCACTTGAACTCAAACATTTGTAGTCTTTATGAATGTCACTATAACCTAAGAACACACATTTGGTTGAGTGAAATTGAAATTTGTGAGTTTGGTATAGTCTTAGGCAAGGAAAACATGCACACCCAATGACTTTAAAGAAGTTGTAGTCTGGTGCAATTTTGTAGGCTTTTTCCCAAGGTGAGATGTTATTTAGGATGGGAGTGGGAAGTCAATTTATGATGTAGGTGGTTGAATAGAAAGCGTCTCACCAATATTGTAAGGGCATGGATGCTTGAGCAAGGAGTTTTAAACTCATTTCCACTATGTGCCTATGTTTTCTCTCTACAATCTCATTTTGTTGACTGATGTGAGGGCATGGATGTCTAAATTCAACTCCAATTTCTTTAAGATATGGAACAAAGGTTCGAAACTCCCCTCCCCAATTAGTTTGAAGGGTTTTGATCTTTCTTTCAAACTTGTTTTTATCAATTTGTGCTATTGTTTGAAAGCTATCAATACATCAGATTTGTGTTTAAGAGGAAAAATAGAAGTTAGGCGATTGAAATCATTTACAAAGCTAATGTAAAATCTGTAGCCTGTGGTGGATGGAGTTGGTGATGGTCCCCAAAAATCACAATGTATGAGTTCAAGTGGAGTTAATGTATGAGATTGTGACTTCTTGAAGGGTAGTATATGTGATTTGCCATATTGACATGCATCACAAAAATTTCTGTTTTCATTGAAAGAAAATTTTGGATCACAAGACTTTGACACGAGATTCAAAACTTTATCAGATAAATGGCCTAATCTTTGATGCCAAAGATTGCTCAAAGATGTGAATTTTTTGACAGCATTGACATTAGGACTCAATAGGACAAAATTATTTGAACGAGAATTTAACTGACTTGGACGAAAATTGACAGCTTTATTGAAGCAAAAAAATGTGCTCTAGGATTTGGAAGATCCAGCTGATAGAGCCCTTCACTAAGCCTCCCCTCCAGTATAGTTCTCCCGGATTGCTTGTCCTTAACACAACAACAATTTGAGTCAAAAACAACAATTACATGATTGTCTGCAGTCAATTGGGAGATACTTAGAAGATTTCTTTTGATGTGTGGAATCAACAACATATTTTTCAAGTTTAAACTCAAGTTATTTTAAGACTTTGATTTAACAGTAGTAGATCCAACATGAGTAATTGGTAACTTAGAACCATTACCATTGTACTCATCTTTTTGTCCAATGTAGGTGGTGTGGTGTGGTTGGTTGCCCCACCATCCATAAGCCAATTTTGGTCATTCACAACATTTGGGGTTGCCATAAAAGCTCCAGGAGCCTTGTTGTTTGTTTGTGGTGTGTTTCCCATGTAATTTTCATCAAGTCTATGGTAGCAAATTGCAACAGAGTGCCTAAATTTTCCACAAACCTGGCAAGTTGGTTTGGAGTTTCCTCTTTGGTATGTGTTCTGTCCTCCTCTGCCTCCTCTGCCACGGTTGTTTCCTCTTTGATTTCTTCCTTGTCCGCGATTTTGATTTTGGTAGTGAGACCTTCCTCTTAGATTAAAGCTCCTATTTGAGGCATAGTTGACTGAT